GTGAAGAAGATATTAGCCAAAACCACTCATACGTACAAGGATTGGGCAGATAAGTTGTCTTTTGCTCTGTGGGGATACAGAACAGAACGTCTATGAGAAGCTCAACTGGGGCTAGACCGTACCCCCTGGTGTATGGTTCTGAGGCAGTCTTACCCATAGAAGTGGAAGTACAGTCGTTACGGGTGGTTCTGGAGTCTGAAATCCCTGAAGCTGAGTGGGTCAAAGACAGGTATGAACAGCTGGCCTTAATCGAAGAGAAGATAATGAGGGCGCTGTATCACATGCAGCTGTATCAAAAGAGAGTGGCCAAGACCTTCAATAATCACGTGAAGCCAAAGCAGTTTAAGGAAGGAGACCTAGTGCTGAAGGAAGCTAGGCTGACCGAAGTGAAGTGGTAGAACGAAGCGAAGTGTAGAAAAGATTTGGGAGAGGGAAGGTTACATTGACCTCGTGATTAGACGAAGAAATTACTCCATCATGCGCACCAGGGTTTGGGCCCCATCTTCTAGATACGCAACCTCTGAGATAGAAGAAAGATCCATGTCACACTAGAACCAGTCTCCAAGAAAGGAAGAGAAGAAATTCCACTAGGGTAAAGTAAAGTAAAGGGCATCAAAGAAAGAAAAGAAAGCTGCTACTCTCTCCCTTCTGAGTCGAGTAGCTGAGCACCTTCCCGCCTCTAAAGAAATGGAATGAAAGAGTTACATACTAGCTTTAGCTTATGGAGGTACGTAGTCGCTTTAGCGAAGCTTATGGCTGGCTGCTGATCTATAGGCGGGGGAAAGTCTTGGTGATTGACCCTCCTCGTGGAACACTTTATATATCGTCAGGAAGCTGAAGAGCTTAGGATCAGAAGGAAAGATCCCATCCTGTCTTTTAAGCAATGGTCTACGACTCCGCAGCTTGCTTAGGAGAGATTTATTTTCTATTTGAGTTTGTGTTCCGTGAGTCTATATTACCGTATCGGCATGTACAGCCCTACTTGGGGGCTTTTGGCATGGAAAGGGGGAATCATAGCAAACCCGTTCAAGGTACTGCAAGAGGGGACAAAGTTAGGCAATAAAGCACACAGCAAGGTCCTGTCTTTCTTTACCTTTCCATCGTCCGGCTTCGGAATCATTCTCTTGGGTATCTATGAGATCGAGTATGGAGCACACCTGGTAATCTCTTTCGAAGGAAGCCCTCAATACAGAAAGCAAGAGGTAAGAACAGGATAATGAACTAGAATAGGTGAATCATTGTCGTGTGAATGGGCGAGTCCTTGACCGTGGATTCTGTCCAGGGGAGCCAGACACAATCCCTCCGGATCAAAGTAAGTCAATGCGAGGTCAGAGAAGAGACGAGAATTGACACATCGTGGTGTCATGTAGAAAAGAATGGATGTTTTAAGCTAAGTTTCGCCACCCATTTCGAAAAATAGAACCTCCGTACGCGAGCTTTGAGAAAAACAATTGGAGAGGGCTACACCAACATCTATATCTAATGGATCAACTCGTGCTTATGCGCCTCTCTGTCTGCCCGGAAAGAAAATCCGGGTCAGCGATCACTATGCCTTCTTCTGCTTTGGTAAAAAAACAAATATCGTCTGGTCGGGCAAGTCATCGAGAACTCAGGAATAGCCTTTTGATTCTGTGGAAACTACTCTGTCCTCGTCCATCGCCCCAAAGTCTGCTCTCGGTCGGTCTCTAGTAATTAGGGATTGGATTTCCTATAGAGCGGAGCCCTAAAAAAAGTCAAGCTGAAAGAGCTTTGGCACTTATGAATAGTACACATTAAAAGGAAGTTTTTAAGAAAGAAATTTACGGAAAAATTTTTTCTTTGGATCCGGAAAGCAGGATGAATTTCACCAATCAGCCTGGCCTAAGAAAGACCCTCACCTTAACCTTACCGAGAAGTGGAGCCTTCTTTATCTGTCTTCTCTGGGTAAGCTGCCGTGCCTGTGTCAGCAGCGCTATAAAGGATTTCAGTCTGCCATGGGTCTCTCTGTTTATGTTGATGTGAAATCGGCAAGCCGGGCGAATTCCTTACTACTTACTATAAGAAAACCTCCGTTGCAGTCATTTCCAATTCCCTGTAAGCGATTGGGAGAAAGCTAAATATAAATAGTAGTTGCCCTTGCTGTTGATCCCGACCAGTTCCCTGCTAGTCTTGCCTAGTCTCCTTTACCAGGAGGTAATAAGTGTCTAGTCTCTGCCCCAGAGGGTAACATCATATTTCTAGTACGAGTGCCCAGTGGGTTATCTGTATCTGTCAACCCCTCCTCTGAGTCAGTTGCCTTCCCTGGGGTGTGAGTTGCAATTGGATGATTTAAGGATCGATGTAATTGACCTCAGTTCCTGCTTTTATCAAACAAACCAGTTACTTTAGTTCCTGCAAGCAAGTCAAGCCTGCGAGCCAGTGTCAGTCCTCCAGACGAGGCAATCAATGGATAGGGTTCCCTAACAGGCATTTCTGTTACCTTGGATAGGGGTGCAGGCCTCTTTCCTTGGGGTTACGAATATTTTGTTATCTCCTCTGGGGAAGACAGTTTGAAAGTACAGGAAGCATGTTGTAAGAGTTGTTGGCCCCATTTCCTTTCTTAGGAGAATATCTGCTCTTGTCTTGGATTCGGCATCACATCAAGCCGATGTGGCACTGATGACGACTTTAAAGTCCTTTCTGCTTTGACAGAGCTAGCTTCAAGTAATTGGTAGGACCAAGAGCCTTGGAGGAGTCAAAAAACAAAAATTTCGAGGGCAACGGATATGTTGTCTACCTTTGATTCTTTATTCCGGGTGAAGTTCCCCCGTTTTTGTAGTGATTTGAGTGAGGTGAGTCTAAGAGATTAGTGACAGTGACCTGACCAATGGGAGTGACTTACGGAGAGATCTGTTACCGGAGCAACCATCCGAGCTTACAGAGCAGTTGGTACGGGGCGGAGTGAAAGCACAAGGCTAGTTTCGAAACCAGGGGCAGACCAATGACAAACGGAGCTATTGACCTGAGTGGTTTTCTATTTGACAAGCAAGGTAGATGTAGATTATAAAACGGACGGTTAAGGCTAGGCTGGCATGTTCCCTAAGAAGGGACGAACCGCGCATGAGACCTGAAAATGTACAGAATGATAAAGCATTTTACATTCAGTTGTTCGAGTGAGAACATAGAATACTAAGCAAACGAGTAAGATGTTGAACCAGCTAACAGTTTACAAGGTAAGGAACTGAGTTGAGGTCTCCTATCTGAAGGAGGACACTTCTTAAGTAGACTACTTCAGACGAGTGGAAGGAAGTCTAAGTCTATTCCAATTCCTGCGCGGACCCAGACAATGAAAGCACGTAATCTGAGCTTAATAAGAAAAGAAAGCTACTGGCACACTTTAAGGCGGGAAAGCAAGCCGTGAAGAAGGACCTATCCTCTCATGCTTCGCCAGCACCCAATAAGGACCACAAAGAGAAAGCAAACCCTCGGTCAACCGAAGCATCGGTAAATGAATCTATTTTCCAATGCTTCAATCAGTTCCCTACCGGGACTTGACACAAGATAGACCAGCGGAGACAAAACTTGAACTTGCATGCCCTAGTTATAGTTAAGGGCAGATACAATTCCTATCTTCTCCCCGTTCCCTATCCATGCAATGTAACCTATCTCGATTGACCGATCATGTGTGATATTATTATTTAATATATGTTTCTTGCCGGATCGGGTATTCATATCTCATTATCACGGACTCTTATTATACGTTGATACACGAGTTGGACAAAGAGAGGCAGGCAAAGGGAGAAGCAGCCAAGTGCGCCAACCAACGCCCTGGGTAGTCCTATAAGAGATCACACGCCTCTTTGTCCTTTTTTGTTAGGCCAGTTTTGAACACAAACGCGCTAGTTATTCCCATCTGACAGATAAGAAAGAAACTGGCACAACGAGCCCAGCTGGACTGGACACAATGACTACATTTTCTATCGAGGGAAGTGACTCACCGGTTCTCCCTTCCCCAGCTTTCAGGAAAGATCCGACGCAGCCATCGAGGAGATATAAGCTTGCCAGCCCGGAGTGGGGGGAAAGAGTAGCTCCTTGCCAACAGCTGAAAATTCTACAGTGGTTCAGTCTGATTCGTTCATCCGGAAGAAAGGAGGCACGTATCGAAGGAGAAGAGGAAGAAGCGGGGATGACACCGCTCTTTGCTTTAAAAAAGTAGCATTCGTAGTAGCACAGTAGCAATAGCATTAGCAGGGGAAGGAGAAGTTACTGGTCTTTCTTTAGCAGGGCGCTCAAGGGAGCAACTCGTAGAGGAATTCGATTCGCCAATAGAAGACTCAGATGTCGCCTTTCGGGTTGTAGGGCCCAAGGGGATCTCCCTCTTTGCCAGTAGCTAGTTTAGATATGGCAAGCGGTTCGAGTCAAGTGCCAGTTAAAGAACCAATTGTTGGCAAGAGTCACAAATAAGAAGTAAACGACTTGATTTTGATTGTAGCTCTTTTGAAGCTTTTGAATCAGCTGTGAAGTCTCTTTGCAGTCCGTAAAGTGGAATTTGACCTATGTCCCATCAGCCTCAAATGTAAGCTCGTTCCTCACTCGTGCCATACGTGGGGTTATTCAATGAGCGAAGAACAATAAGGGGATCCTCCCAGCCGGACTCTACCTGCCGGGCCAGTGTATTCGGGAACCTCAGGGGAAACTGAGTCTCTCTTCATTTCTTCTGACCGGTGCTGCTGTTGCCTGCGCGTAGGGAAGGAGAGGACTCGACGCGAAGGAGTCCCGTCCCCGAAAAAGCCCGTCCCCCAACTCAATTACATCGACCCACTATTTACTTATTTAGAATAGTCTCGGACCATCGGAAAGAAAGTCAAGTAGAATCCCTTCGGGTGATTGCTCCACGCATTCAAATGCTACCCACGTGAATGCTAGTCGAATCCGTATGCCCAAACCACATAAGAAAAGCTAAGCAGCGTCATCGATTCCTAGTAGCGGATTCAGCAAAAACAAAAACGTATTCTTCTTCTATGAAGACATCTGCTCAATTGCATCGAACCTCGGTTGACACATTCTTTACTTGAACAACAAGAGTTAGACGGATTCTCGGCAGCTCAGAAGGTCAGGTCAGAAGTCGATTCCCTTTCTGGGGCAAATAATAGGCCCGGAGATGGATAACTCTTAGCCTTAATAAGATGGGCCTTGAGCCTGCTTCATCGCCTTGACTTTCTTCTTTTCATTCTAAGTAAAAGTAAGGACTTAGCTTTGCCGCACTTTCTTCCTTGCTTTAGGGAGGTAAGAAGATAATCTACTTAATGATCTGCTTTATTAGAAATCGAATGCCTATCTTTCAAGACAGATACTATTGTAATTTCTCTGCCTAAGGACTGCTACCTCGCCATGTGAAACTCTTTATGCTCGTGGTTGGTATGGACTTCTATTATCTAACTGATAGGATCGTCCGTTGAAGGCTAGAGATCAGGCTCGATGTAATTGACCTGTTACACCTGTGTATATCCTATATACTGTCAATATACCTTCTATTGTCTCGTAGGAGTTCTTTCCCGGTGAGCAGTGCTAATATTTGGAATCGTCAATCTTTTCATAGACTTTTCGATCAACCACTCATCCATGTTGGGTTTTCACCTAAGCCGGTGCTCTGTGCTCAGGGGCCCTTCTCAGTGATCAATGGAGCGGAGACCTAAGGCCAGAGACGGGTAGCATTTACCTTTGCCTTGATCCTGTAAGGTCAAAACCTTCGGTTGGTTGGGTTAGGTTTCGATGAACAGATCTTTCTTTTCTTTTCGCACTGCTTTCTTGTACGCATTATTGAATAACATTCCTATAAGCTCCTGGAATGGAATATAGGTTGGATCAATAGCAAGAGCCACGAATGGGATGGATGCATAGGCTGCAAGGAAGGGAATGCGAAATTAGGACCAATAGGCTTCTTTTTTTTTGAGGAAAAAACAGACTTTTATTGATTCATGTCCGCAAGAGCGGCAGTAATTACATCATTAGGGGGAATTGCGCCCCAGGTACAGGCATGAGGAAGCCGTAGACCATGCTTAGCAAGGTGGTGAGCAGGCTCGATATAATTGACCTATGTTTGTACTAAGACTCAAAGTAAAGGACTGAGCTTCAGATCGGCAACGCGCCGCGAGTGGGGATAAGAAGGAAAGGCCTCTGATAGCAGGTATTTCCTCTTAGTTACCCGGGACCGGGAGTTGAGGATGCGAAGAGTTTAACTGACTTACTTTCTTCTCTTTGGGCCTGGAGTTGCTAATCCTACTTCTCTGGTAGTTGAGTTCGTGACTCAAGTTCGAGGGCCCCGGGGCTTGGCCTCTTTACAAGCCAAATGCGGGATTAGGCCTGTCCAGCCTCTGGGCTGGTTGTCTCGGTTCCTAACCCGGAGCAAGACGATGTGGAGATGCCCCTTACAGGTGTCTGTAGAAGACAAAGTGGTCAAACGCCCTGGTGCAACGAGTTCGACAGATGTTAGACGGCTCAACCCGCAGCCGAAGAGGCTGACGCAGAATAAGTCCGCTGGGAATTCGAGCGGAGGAATGGTAGGACCGATACAAGGCCAAGTGTTAGGGTGACTAAACGGAATGACGAAGGAGTCCATTTATGGACCGTATGAGAAAGTGGTCCCGCAGAAGCCTAAGGTCATAATAGAGTCTAGTATGACATCGGTAGGAAGATAATGCAGCTAAGCCGAGACTTGCTTCTGAGGCATTTCAGACTTTACTTGCTGTTGCCGATCTTCTCTTTTTTTTTTTTCTCTTGTTGAAGAAGTGGAGTTTGCTGCTATCGTAGATAAGAGTTACGGAATTGATAGAGTCAATTTCATCTTTCCTCTCCTTTCAGTCGAGACTCACTTTGCTCTCCTTTATCTCCTCGGGTCAAGCCACTGCCCTTCCATCCTAGTCCCACGGAGCGAGCTTTAATTTCATTGGTAGCAAGCCATAGGTGGGAATGAATGCTTCTCGCCAAGAAAAAGGAATAGCTGCTAGCTGAGTTGAAGAGAGGCTACTTATTTGGGCGGTTTTTTTCTTCTGGTCGACTAAATATCTCTCCGGCTTACTTCGAACCTATCCTCTATACTATATTACTTAGGTCAGCCGAACAAACCATTGAATTGCCCATGCATGCAAAAACAAAAGAAAAGGCATCAAACTTTGACAGCGAAAAAGACGGGAAAACGAAAAAGTTCAGGGACTAGCTGCTCTAGAAGACTGATCTTGCTATCACCCAGCTGGGGAATATCGTATAATAGAATCTTTTCCCCAATTCCCGAAAAGAGGACTTCACTTCGCTTCGCTTCGTTCGTTCCCTCAAATCATGGCAACCTTTAAGGGAAAACGAGAGCGTCCCTTTCACCTCTGGTCGTTTCTGCGACTTGCCACTCTGCCTTTGCAGGAGACTAGGGAGTTCATGACCAGTCCACTCGCTAGGCCTCTTCCCCTGGCTCGATGTAATTGACCTTTCCTTAGTAAAAGCGAATAGGGCACAGTATTGGGTTCTGTTCCGTTTTCAGTCAGCCTTAGCTAAGAAAGCGAATCTCCTGCCTTGGTTTGAGTGAATATGCACAGGTCAGTAAGATGAAGGACTGAGCGTAATTCAACTAGGATAACAAGAATACCCATTCAAATAGAGTCTGCACCACACGGGCATCAGTCAAAATATTGTATATATAATAAGGATTTTCTTCGTTCTGTCTTTGTTCAAATGCGTCATCTAGTTGATCGAGAAACTGTCGGCCCAAAGAGCCTAGCCAGAGGGACTGAGAAAGTCTCCAGCGTAGACCGAAATGGTCTCGCGAAGCCGCGTTCAGCTAAGAGACGAGATGACTAGTTCATAAAGACAGAATTCCCACAGTAGGGGAGAAAAAGTGGATTATCATCCGTTATTAAAACACAAAAGAAATCCATTAAATGGACTGGCCCTGCTTTTAGGTCAATTAGCTATTAGTCTCCTTTCTCAATTACATCGATCCTCACCTTACCGCTCCGTGGTCAACTCAATTACATGGATCCTTATCCCTTCCTACTTCTATAGTCTGTAACGAAGGAAGCCCCCATACCCACTCTTCTTTCCCACCAGACCACATTTGACGGGGGCCTAATCGTCAACCAAGAAAGCAAGGAAGACGACGGAAGTCCTATCTCGCTTTTGTCATTGAACTCGGATTCCCTTCTTAGTTAGCAGTTCTTCTTCAATCTCTTTCCGATTCAATTGGCTTTCCAAAGAGCTGCTTCTTTCCCAGTTGGGATTGAGAATTCCTTGCCAAAGCTGACGAGTTAGCATGTAGACCCTTTATTTATGCTTTCCTGTCTATTTTCTTGTCCTTCCACCTCTTATAGAAGGATAGGTGCTACTTATGCGTTCCCAGTTCTGATTCTTCAAAGAAGGAAAGTAGCGTAGACATCCTTCTCCTTGTCTCATTCCAATGGCTAGGGCCTAACTTCAATGACCCTTGAAGGATCTGTGGAAGGCATATGTGGTATATGCTTAATTCTTGTCTAAGAATGAGAGCTCACTTTCGAATAGGCTGGATACTGGCTACAGAGTTCTTTTAGGCTTGACGGAAGATCGCTCCAGCTCAATGTAATCGATTCAACGAACGAAGCGAAGCGCAGTGAAGGAAAGGAGTGAAGCTTGAGGAAGCACTCACTTTTCTATCCACGGCATTCTTGGTTCTGCACTTAGTCAAATATCTGAAATTGTTCCGAAGCGAAGTGAACAAACTTTTCGAAGCGAAGTTCAGTCAGATTTCAATTAAATTCGCTAAACAAATTACATACATAATATAAGTAATTTGACTAGCGGGATCTGACTCGAAAGGTGGTTCCGAGGGCAGAAAAATTGCATTTCACGCGGGAAACTACGAAAAGTGCCATTTCTCAGATCTTCTCCGAGTGAAATCTTTCTAATGAACTCTTGGAGCTAGGGGGAATGGTTACGAAGAAGTAGCGCTTTACCGATCAATAGGGGGGACGGAGAAGCTTTACCGCGACCGGGGGAACTTTAAGCCACTCGACCAAGGCCAGAGGAAGAGACAGACTAGACTAGCTTTGAACTTCCTTTACCAGCAAGGTTTGAAAATGCTTGACTGAAAGGTTCGAAGATGCTTGTTTGATAGAACAAGGAAAGGAGTGAAGCCGCTCGACCAGGCTAGCTCGGATCGGAGAGGTTCAAAGACAGAAAACAAAAGTAGTTTGACCGGAAGAAGACTTTAGTTGCGAGACCGGCTGAATCTGGAAGATAAAGTTCCCAAGGAGATCGAACAGATCCGGTTGGTTGATTCAAGTCTAAGTAGCATCAAAAAAAGCGATATACAGTGGTTTATCCCAGTGAAGTAACAGCAGGCATGGAAAAATAAAAAAGGCCTTGATTTACACGTACGTAGGTTATCGACATCTCACTCCGAACGAAGGAGCGCGTAAATCATTCATTCTTAGGCCCAACGGAATCGTAAGTCACTATGGAAGAGGTATGAACAGGCAAGGGAGCCCTTGCCCCCACAGCAGCAGCGCTACCCTCTTTCGCTTCCCTCTGGAGCGAGGGTTGGCCAGCAACAGTTGCTGGATATCAGCTTTACTCTTCTTCGCTCTCTCCTCGGCTTCTCTTTGTTCTTGCAGAGTGGGACCCGTCCCCAAAAGAAAACTTCTTAGGGATAGGGGCCTCAGAATTCGCCCCCGCTATAGTCTCCTTTTCCCTGTTGTAGGAAACTTCAGCGACCTCTTTTCCTTTACCAGAGGCCTTCTCACCCCCGTCTTCAAGATCATCTTCCTCTTCGACTTCGCCCTCCTCAATTACATCGATCCTCCTCCGAGGACTCAGCCAACTCAACTACTTCTCCCTCTGCAATAGAAGGAGCGAGAAGTATCGTCACTTCAGGATCATCGTGGGGAGCTCTGAGTCCGGCCCCCTGGTATGTTGAGCTCGGGTTAAAGTTCGTGGGCAGAGAAAAAACAGGCTTGGGCCTTGCTACTATTTGGAGATTTTCAGCCACTCCCCCGGCTTGAGCCAGCTCGGGCTCGTCATCTAAAAACTCCATATCTGCCATATCCTGGTGGGAGCAGGCAGCATAAAAATTTTGATCTTCGGGAGACATGTTCGTAANGATCAAAGGCATCTATAAAACAAAACGCAGTAAAAAACACAACATCACAAAATAACGCAGATGAATATTTCTGTGAAAACTCTGCAAACCAGGGTCGATGTAACCCACGGAGCGGTAATTTTTTCACAATCACCCCACACCGATTCCGACTCTCGGATATAGGCCTTGGTCATAGAAATTTCTTCTAAATTACATCTATCCTCTGTGCATCAGTCATCCCCTCTATATTGGCACAACGCCAAGGAGACACTATATAGCAGCTGGAGTTCAAAAAGCCTCTACGGCTCGCTTCTCATTTAATGGGGTTGATGGAGGGTCTGTTGTCAAAAACTGCAGCACAGTCACCTCCTTATCTGTGAAGCGACGAGGAGGCTTCCAGGTCGTGTCTGTAGTCGAATCAGTATTCCAGTTATTGGGAAAGGGCCATGCTCTGTTCGACCTCAGAACAAAGAAAGGATCACTCAACTCTATAGGTTTGCTCGGCAAGTCTGCGACTGCCCTCAAGGAAGCACGATTAAAAGAAAAATGCACATGAGCAGAATTTTTTGACTGGGCAGGCTTGAACAGTTGACGGAATACCGCGCTTGTCAGTCGGAGACCCTTTTCTTGACACAACTAGTAAAGCCCCACCATTTATTTCCACCCATTAGGGGTGTTTTGGCCGGGTTCAAGGGTCGATGAAATTGAGGCAGAACTTCAGCAAAAAAAAAGGGGGAGGAGGGGAAGACGCAATCCTGCTCTGAATTGATCTTCATACAAGATCAATTCATTATCACCCATCCTCTGGTCCCCGCGCACTTCAAGAGAAGGCAATGTTAGAGTATAGGGTTCACCTATACGGTGCGCGATGGCAATTGCGAGCAGATCCCTTTTCGTCAAAACTGTATAAGCAAGATCTACAGTCGCCTTCTTCAAAGCTTTGGGCCTCGCCCAAGTTCATTCTCGATTTTTCTAGTACACCAACGGGCGATCACCCACTCAAACAATTGTCTTCTTTCTTCCAGACCTGTTGGTTCTGGAGCAGCATAACCCCATTTTACAATTATTGATCAATTTTTATTACAGCCTTCCCTATATACTACAGGAGTTTTTTGGGCCTTTCTTTTCTTAGTGCAGGCGGACAGTAACGGAGGTAGTCACCATAGTTTTCATACCACGTAAGGTTCTTTCGTCCCACGAAGACACGAAGAATAGGAAGCGGGTATCATTTGAGTCTAACAAGCTGACACCCCTCGGACCCTGACAAGCCCGATTGAGCTGATCTAAAGACCGGAAGAAAAGAAATGTAGGTTAAGCGAACGAAACCCAGGGAAACTCCGAATACAGGAGTCCCTTTTCCTTTCTCGTGGAATGAATTAGATACCCTATTCGACTACCATAGGCTTGAGAGACCTCTAGTTAACTTCACTTCGCTCTCCTCAATTACATCGATCCTCCTTCGCCCTCTTCGACTCACGTCTCACCTCCTTCGTCCCCTTCATAGGCAGCTAAGGCTCGATATAATTGAGTAGAGGGGAAACTGCAAATACAGGTTACGAGGATAAAGGGCAAAGTAGTTGCGTATAGGCGCCTATTCGAAGGGGAAGAAAAGGTAGTTCACTTCACTTACTCATTTGATAGATGCGGTAAATCATGCTCAAATGACGGGCTTTTAGACACCAAAAAAGAGAGTTCTCCGTTACACCTAGAATATAGAGGAGGGATTGGTAAAGATCGTGGTTCTAGCGGTGGAGGGAATCGTTTCTCAATCTTAGTTGACAAGGATTTGGGTAAGGAAATGCTAGACTTCTTTACAGTAGTGTTTTTCTTCTATTGTCTCATCAGTCCATCCTTTGACGGAGAAGAAAGACAAGTAAGTAGGAGAGGATCGATGTAATTGAGAAGAGGTCCCCGCCTAGGAAGACTTCTTCTACCGTTCTTCCCCGGAAAATGAGGCCTAGGAGAGGTGCGAATCAGAGCTAGAAGTAGAGGCCGATGTGAGCATTCCTCAGAGAAAGGAGTTATTCCGCATCGCATAAGACCCGAATTGGCCGATCTCAAGCTAATGACTAGCCTATGCCTATAGATAGATCAATGGAAGACTCTCTTTATCTTATAGAATTTGACTTTGAAAATCTACCATTTCTAGCATATAGGATTCAGACTAGGTCCCTTCTTAGAGTCCGCTAGAGGTGGTGCTATTATATGCATTCTTTGACAGAGAATAGAATAAACAAGAGGAAAAGGCAATGAGATTGTTAAGGCTCGATATAATTGACCTCTGATTCACCTCCAAAAACGAATTCTATTTATAGAGATTTGAGTCATTCTATTATCCCTTTCATTCAAAGAGTTTTTCTGTGTCTCGATTTGTCTCTGTTCATCCACAAGGGAGGACTATAGCACAGGTCTGTCGAGCTCTTGCCCTTTAGGAAAGGTCTAATACCGAGACAGGTTGATCCTATATTTCGTTCTATGATGAAGAGTCTCCTTTCCGGAAAGTCAATTCGGAATTCTTATTCATAAATAGATTTCCCCAGCTCGGTGATCAAGACTTTTGCACTGATAAACAGCTTTGAAAGCACTGCCTTTAGATACAAAGCTTAGGCGGAGACGGCGCTAGCAGCACTTGAGAAAGAACCTGCCCTATTGGATGGAAGGGATTTCATTACGACAGGCGGACTGCTTTCAAGCGCTTGACTTGAGAAAGTTCTTTTTTAAAGACTACTTAGGTAGGACCGTAGCAACCGTTGGAAACACAGATTATGAACGAGTCGAGGCGCTATAGCAACACTTTCTACTGTTTATCGACCTCAGAGCAGATTCTTCCTTCCTGAAAGACTGGAGAAAGTAACCAAAAGCCTGCCTTTTGAGATGATTTGGCATTTTTAGAGCAATCTGGAAAGAATTAACTTAAGATAACTGATTTTGTATCCCCTTCCAAAGATGGGTCAAAAGACCGTGTTTTGACTATCTATTTTAACCCCCGATAAGGGAGGTCTCAACACTGGGCTTGGGGTGAGTCTCGTCTGTCTTGTTTCCGTCAGTAGTCTGCGTGTGAGATAGAGTACTGTCAGGGGTTCGCGAAGTCTATTAGTTGCTTGCTTTCCTTTTTATTCTTTCTCACATGCGTGACTACCATTCTCTCTTTTCCATATTGGTAGCTCCCCCGATATTCGTTCTCGCGGCGAAGGATCGTCCTTTAACTACTTTTTAGGGGTTGACTTGTCTCTTTTTCCTCTTCCCCGCAAGCAGCTCACCCATTAGTTCATTTGCTCGCCCGAAGCCTTAGCAGGGTACCAAAGAACATGAGTCTTCGTAAGTCTTTGGCAGCTAGGCTTTCAATTGGCTAGTAGGGTTGAGTCTCTAAGCGGCTGGCTAATGTAGGGAAGGGAATCCACCCATCTTGTCTGTAGAGTCAATCGCTTTTCTTCCAGAAAGACCTACCAGAATTGAAATTAACCAGAGGGAAGCTCTTTAGACTGGCATATTTGAGTTTCTAGCACATCAGCTTGACTTACATACGAATTCCCAAGCAGTTTGGGAGTAACGCTTCCCACCACCCTAAAACAAGTCGGTCACATGATGGCATATGGCCGCGGAGAATACGAGATATAATTAACCCATGCAAGCACTCAAAAACTTAACACTTGCCGCGAAGGCACGTCTTTCGAGTAAGCCTGAGAGTTCATCCCCTTCGTCGTCTTCCGGTTCTACCCACACTAGAATGCCAAGCCTGATCCAAGTAGGTAGACAGTCCTCATTCTTTCCTAAAACTTCCATCTTTCCGGCAGTCGTTCCAAAGTCAAGGAACTTCTTGCATTGCACATGGGTCAGTCCAGTATAAATTCCCTTTTGCATGTCCATCCATCTGAGATCATCAAAGGATTTCGAACGGGACTAAGTGAGTCACTTGCTTGAGACGGAGCTGGAAAGAAAGGGGGAATTAGCTCAAGTGAAAGGTAACTTCTTGCTTTCGCCATGCAAAGCTTCGGCCGCAACCAGAACAGGCACCCTTGTTAGTCAGAAAGTCCCCCACGTGTATATCAGATTGAAGTCTGACTATGCGTTCACTGGAAGGGACCCGGATGATCCTCATAAATACCAGGGCGATGAAAGATCATCATCAGACGTAGTAGGACTACTGTTGGATTCTTTCCCGTAATAAGATGAGCGCGTGTTAGGAGACTAGCGTACTTGCACGTGCAGAATCAAATTGTGTACTAGTACTCTATTCGATTTCATATCTAAAGAAGGTGAAGCACTTTCATTTGAGTAGTACTTTTTGATTGCATACCATATGAAATCGAAGTGGTAGTTTGAGAATTCGAATTCGGAGTCTCACTTGAGGAGTCCAATCAAATATGTTCATTTCCGGAAACATGAAGCGATTGATTGAGTACCCTCCAGACGCCTGTAGGAGTCAGAAGTATAGAGAGTTGTGGTTGGTTGTTGACCAACGGTGGGATGCATAAACGAAACTAAGGCACATCGAAGCGGCATACCGAAAAGAAAAGACACAGGGTGAATAGTTGTTGGATCCTTTGTCCTGTGCAGGGGATAGAATGTGAACAAAGCACGTTTTGAGGTTTGAATAGGTCAATTACATCGAGCCTTGGCATCTTCCCACTCAATTACATCGACCCTAACAAGTGTCTTATCTTCCTGTTTTGATTAGTCATGACTCTGTCCTTGAGTGCTGTCCACATGAATGTTTTAACTCTGGGTGCAACTTGAAGTTTCCAGAGCTTCGCATACACAGGGTTGGGGGCCTCTTCAGACTTAGTTATCAGTTCAAAAGCGGATTTGGTGGAAAACATTCCACTAGGGAAAGCAAGAAAGAAAAGAATGCTAAAGTCAAGACTAGTGAGATTAGCTTGGTGTGCTTCTATCTTCGGATTGATGTACAATTGCCTGTTTAAAGGAAGACAGGACAAATGCCACAGAAAGAATAGCAGCTGCAAGAGATTCGACAGTTGTTCGGGATTAACCTAACCTGATTGACCTAATCAACCCAATATAATATGTCAATTTTGAAAGAATAAAGAATAAGGGCTTAGAGCCTAAATAGAACTAGTCAATCCGTAACTGAAAGCAGGAATGGAAATTCATCCATGTTTGACAGTAATCAATAGGTAAATAAATTACTTGAAGAGGCATATGAATATGAAATATCCCCGAATGGGATTGATGGACAGATTCCCTTGGAGCAAAGGAGAGATAGTGCTAGCAACTTCGAAAGAATGGGGAAGGAAAGGTTTGAAGATACTCGACCAAACAAACGAAGCGCAGCGCAGTGAAGTCATAAGTATTGGCGAAGCGAAGAAAAGGAATAGAGATTTTGGTTGTGAAACCAATAACAGAGATTGCTAAACCCAGCGGATGTGACGGAATTTATTCCTTGTGCGGTATCAGTAGCTTTGTAAGAAGCCGTAGCTCTCTCTGGCACTGATGTAGATGGTGACTTAAACGTAGCTGGATTTTGAATGAGATGGCAATTACCAAGAGAAGGGGATGGTCACTGAAACTAGAACTAATGGAGACAGAGCTGGTCTAGTAGACGGGGCAGGAGGATTTTTTAGCTTTGACAGCTGAGCTATGGGCTATATACAAAGGTCTTGCTTATTTCTGAGAAAAGGGCTTCAGATATATAGTTCTTGAAACGGATTCACTATCAGCGGTTAACAAGATAAAAGATGAGCACTTATCCATTGATTCTGTCTCTCCACTGGTTGAAGCCATTAGAGACCTGCTACACAGAGACTGGAACTGTTCGATACACCATATATTTCGTGAAGCTAACAGTTGTGCTGATTGGATTGCATCCCATGCCTTCTCAATTACATCGACCCTACCTTATTCCTTTCCTTCACTTCGCTTCGCTTCGTTCGTTGGTAGGAACATAGAAAAATGCCAATTCCTGCATTGGTGCGGTAGAGCCTCATATGCTCGATCCATAGAGAAAGAGGGAGTACCAAGTCGTTCAGGAGATAAATCTTTTAACGTATCCATCAATCAGTCATCCCATTTCATTCCTGTTTGACACCCATTTAGTAGTGCTTTGAGCAGTTATCTGGTCATTCCAATCTTTCGTATGCGGATCTTATATATCTATATATGAATGAGACGCTTCAGGCGAGGCACCCAAATAAAAGAAATCCGTATCAGAAAGAAGGGCTCTGGCCCGGCAATGAGATTAATCAAGCAGCTTTCACTATATAAGATACCTAAGCTGGAGCTTGAAACTAAAGCAGAAAGTGGGAAGACGAGCTCCGGATCCAGATACGAAATGAAGGTTGGTTGCAATTCTCCAGTTAGAAGATAGTCATGTCAAGAGAATCTTTCATGATGTGGAACCAGATGTTTATGAGTAGCCCAGCAATGCAGGCGAAGAATTTGTAAATGACATCAGTAAGGAGAGGGTTTCAACCGAGACCACTAAATACTTACCCCCTTGGAAAAGATAAATCAAAAATTCCTTCTTTGATGACTAAGGTTGTAGGAGTCAATTCCCAGGTCTTTCTTCCTAGAATCCGGAGCAGGGGAGCAAAGTGAGACTCTAAAAAACGAAGCGAAGCGAAGTGTAGAAAAGATTTGGGAGAGGAATGCTGAATAATGCCCCGAATCGGACCTTATAGCTATTCCTCCAGGACGGTTAGGGATCTTACTTAACTAACTCGCCGAAAAGCGCATAGCGACTGGTGGCTATCCTGAAAGTCCTATGCCTTGCATCGCTACTAAGCTTTACTCTATTATAAGCTTTATTATAAGCAATTTATAGCTTCGCTCGCTTCGGGCTTTCTTCATTCGTCTCTCCCATCATGATAAGGAGAGTAGGTTTCTCAATTACATGGATCCTTATTCTCTTCATCTTCATCTGCTTCGTCTGGACGAAAGGGAGCCAAGGGAAGATAGTTTGGTTGACGGTCAATGTCTTGTCAAGGTTTAAAGATCTCGACCCATATTTTTGACTTTACTGCGCTTCGCTTCTAAAGTACACTTCGCTTCGCTTCATTCGTTGGATCACTTTGCTCTCCTCGAGTTTAAGGTATCTCATTAGGTCCGGCCCTAAAACGCCTAAACAAAACTCGGCCTTGCTTGCAACAAGGAACCTAGACAGAATAAAGGAATCTCCGCCTTCAAGCTGACGTCTGAATATCTCATTCATAATCCGACGAGTAAAATGAGAAAGGGGCGCTTTCATAGCTATAGCTTTCTGCGTCAACTGGCCCTTCGTCATCCTTTCTGTGAGGTAGCTTGTCTCCTCCAGCTTGTCTGGTTAATGGGGCTCTCTATTTAAAGATTCAAGAAGTCACTCCGCTTTCTGGGATGGAGAAGTTTCCCTATCTTTTCTTTATTCGCCCTACGTGATCATCTACTTTCTTCCAGTGGAGAAAGGACAGACCCCCCGTCTAGTCGAATAAGTAAAAGCGATTTTGGTCACAGAAATGGGAAAGACAAAAGCAAATCTTCAATCTTAGCCAACCCCTTGTCAATCCTAAATAGGATTCCCTCTCGCCTGTGCTTGTGCGTTCCTATCTCTTATGAATGAGTCAACCGGATCGTGAAGGAAGATCTTACTTTATAGAAGCTGCAGAACCGGAGGTCAATTGCATCGAACGAAGCGAAGTGAAGTCATAGAAGAAAGGCACAGCTGATTCTCTTTCTTGTGATTCTGAACAAGCAAGGTAGCTAGTCCCATTAGCCACACCGGCCCTGCCCTGCCAGATTCAGCTAGCTCATTCCTGGTTGCGCGAGAGCCGAAGTTGGACAAATCGAAGTGATCATTGTAGTGGAAAACGAGGAGCAGATAATTTCGCAGTCAAATCTCTTTTCTCTTGGGCTTTTGCCTAAAGCTTCCTCCATCGATTTGCGCGCCTTCAGAATAAGAATAAGGAATTCAACCGCGAAAAAAAACAGTACGAGTTTAGTGTTATCTGGGCTTCATACGACCCCTTCCCACCTGACTATGAGCATCCAGCTCCGAATAAATGAGTAGATCTGGCTTTCCACACCGGGGCAACGAAATCATCTCACTCCGTCCAGGAAATCAAAAAAATGACAATCCGGGATGCCCTTTTTTTTTTTTTATAAAGGGAGCTCGACGCGAAAGGAGAGGAGCGAAAAGCGATATGTGGTTTGAAAGGTTTCTTCTTCATTCAATATGTAAGGTTTCTGCTTTCTTTCATTCCGGAAGTGCTAAAGAACAGATCTCCTCAATCTGTAGTGAAGGGCAAGGTTTGGAACCCAGGGATTACTTACCGTTCATGATAATTTTATAACTATGTCATAAACCAAAAAAAGAAAAAAAAAAGTTTTAAAGAATCTCGACTGAAAGGAGAGGTTTAAAGTAGCTCGACTGTGAAGGAGAGGAGAGAGGTAATTGAGAATACAGAAGCAGAGAAAATGTAGCAGCTAATTCTAAGAGCATTCTTCATCTAGACAAAGAAAGCCTGACATTCTATTCTTTCTTACGAAGAGGACGATCAAGTAGTCGGGGACGAAGTGCTATAGCTACGCGGCGATCTGACTTTAATAACGCGAAGAGATAATAGGCAAGATGAAGGATGGTAATGCCGAAGAAGAGCGCTTAGAATACATGGTGAGACTTGAAAAAGACTCCCATCAATAACGCCAGGAAATCCGTATATATGCGCTGGCTGGAGAACAAGGTCTCAACGAGCCGTAAATCAAGCTCCCTTACTGAGATACCGGACTTCGTTCGCTCATTCCTGCTTGAAAGACCACCCCCATTAAGCAACTTTCACTCAGGACAAGTAAACAAAGAAGTCACAAATACGCATCCGGTCCTCCAACTAGCTCATACACTCAGGAAAGATACAAGGTAGCTGCCCTTTCCTGTCCGGCTTAGCTCAGTAATTCATTCAAATGCAAGTACCGATGTTGCGCTTCAGCTTTCCGATCCTGTGTCGGGGTTAGTTAGGAGGGTTTACTATGTAGGGCATTCCTATCGGGTACTCCGCCTATGAGCTCTTCCTGTTGCTATTCCTGCTTCCTCATTAGCTTCTTAACTCTAAGCAAGTAAGGAACTCATTCAACTAACGTAGTAGGGTCCGGCGTAGGTCAGCTGCTTAAGAAGTTCACTTATCTTCCTGTGTCCTGACGTCGGGTATTCCTTCCCTATCCTAACCGGACTAAGCAACTCAGGCTCTGAAAGACCAGTATCCCGACTGGCAGCTACACCGATTGGGCTTAGCTGCTCCTTCCCTTTCTCCCCTTCGTTCCGCCGGTACTAGATCTTCCCATTTCCACTGATCATGATCAATCCCTAAAGTGTTCAGCAGTTGAAGCCTCTGGGTGGCTATCCTTCAACTGCGAGAGAGCGATGTGCATGAACCAGGTGAGTAAGGATGACTTCGTACTGCTATAGACCACCTCTATAGCCGTTATCCAACTATGGCCGTGATCGATCAAAGTTCGTCCCCTTGTCAATTGCATCGTATGAAGCGAGTCTATGACTTCACTTCGCTTCGTTCGTTGGCTCGATATAATTGACCTGACTCACGTCGTAGTGTAAAGGAAAGAAGAAAACGCGCCTTAAAGAAGAGTAGGAGGAGTTGGCAAGTAGATTCCCATTCCCTGGGCTACAAAACCTCTTCTTCTTTTTTTACATGAAAGCATTCGTTCAGAGTCGACAAGAGCTAGAAGAGCTTTTGAAAGAAAAGCAAGAACTTCTATGACTTCACTTCGCTTCGAAAAGTTTGTACAGTCGACTCAACTTTGTCGATCCTCTCTCCGCTTTCCAGAGGTGGAAAAGAGCGATTCTCTTTAGTCAAAGAGGCCTTCTCGTGGATTGAACCTAGGTCAATTGCATCGAACCTCTCAATTTCTGAAACAACAAAAAGGGAAAGAAAGTGGAAAGAAGAGAAAGGAACAACAGCACCAAAGATACCTTCGGGGTAGACATGGCAGGCGGTTAGCT